AAGGCAATAATTAAATATTTTCATATTAATTGTGTAGAAGCAAGTGATTTTGGTCATGTAAGTGGCTGCATCAACAGGAAACTATCAGCCATTCAGTGTGTAACTTGTAATATTTGCATGCCAGATTTTCTCCAGGCCAATAATACATAGAATCCATATATATTTTACTATGCTGTAAATTAGATATAGACATAGATTTATCCGAATGTAAAATTGTAAGTATATTTAAAAGGTGATTGGATTTTGCTAAGATCCTAGGTACAATATACCGCGCCTCAGACATCAGTAATTACTTAATTTTTGTTAATGTCAGGATTATGGCTAGAAATTGTAAGTGGCTAAAAATAGTTTATAATTTATAATGAGTTAATTTTAGAGTAATCAGATTGTGTTTCAGGAGACGATGATGAAGAAATGGGGGTGTCAAAAATGTACTGTAATTATTTAAACTACAGTTCAGTAAAGTCTGTTATCTGATCCTTTAGTGAAGTTTATTTATAAACTAATTTCGAGAGGATCACATCCTTATGATTGCTTGCAGCCGGTCCCACATTATCCAATGTAGGATTCACCAATCAGATGATTCCTAAGCCACTATAAATACCCTAAGTGCCATATAACAGCCATCTTCGTTTTGAAGAATCCCCCCTTCCACCCCTACTCCTCCTCCTTTCCTAGATGGGTGGCACAGTGGCCCAGTTGTTACCACTGTTGCTTTACATAAAGAAAGTCACTGGTTCTAGTCCTCAACAAGCCAGCCGACGATTCTGTGCGGAGTTTACACGTTCTCCCTGTGCTCACGTGGGTTTTTCCCAGGTTTCCCGGTTTCCTCCCACCGACCAAAATCATGCAACTTAAGTTAATTGACTAATCCAAATCAGCACTATAGATATTCTCCTAGTAAGTAGCTATCTCCTAAGAGCAATCACTATCTGTTCATAGCAACTAAAGCAGGGAAGTTCTGGAGATCTACCTGAGCTCAAACTCCCCTCTCACCTTGCAAATGGGAGGGAGCCCCGGGCTCGAGGATCTCACGAGCTCAGGGCTCTCTCCCGGGACAGCATGCCAAACAAGCTTAATAATCAATCATCAGCTAAGTGTGAACTCTTGAAATTGTGTTTAGTGTTTAAGATGCTCGCCATTGGCTGTCCTCACCCTGTCTCCGTCTTCAAACTACACACTGGTTGGCTCACACACTTTCATCTCATAATTAGATGTGTGAATTTACCTATTCATTTACTTCAAGTTATTTTGTTTTACTTCCCCACAATTTTCAGATGTTTCCATTTGATGAAACATTATTTATTATGTTTAAAATTGTTGTTCAGCTGGTTTGACTTTGAAAACAGGTTTAAAATGTGCTGTGAATATTGCAGTTTTTTTTGCAAAAGCATTGTTCAGATATGTTACCTTATCAAAATGTTACACTGAAATAGGAAATCACCTAACCATGACACTAAGTAGTACCAGTGTAAATAGACTCAATTGAAATGTGTATGGAAGCGTTGAATGAAGTATGTTTATATAGTGCTTTTTTCCTTTTTTATTTAGTTGTACATTTGTTTTTCTGTTTCACTGGTGGGGACAGTTATCCATTGAAATTGTTACTTTTGCACTTTCCCTCCTTTTAAACATTCTGTTTGTAAAGATGTACATTTCCATCTGTTTTCATGATCTTAATTTAAGTTGTCATTTTTTTTAAATAACTTCCTATAGTAACTGGTCGAAGATGTATTGTAGGAAACAAATAAACCTTCTAAACTGCTTTTGTCTCCATGTTTGCAATCACAAAGTTAACCGTTTGTCTATTGCTCATCTTTTTTTAAGCAATCTATTTTTAGTTTAACTCTGTTTTTCATTGATAGATATGAGTCGGAGAGCCACAGCACCAAGTACATTGAATCAGACATCAACTGCTCCAATCTAGCAGCAGAACACAATTTGCTCACCTTTTCTTTCTCTCTGAATAAAGCAATTCAGTAACACTCATTCATTTTTCGCTTAGTCACTTTACAAATCCAGGGTCGCCACTGTGGAATGAACCACCAACTTATCCAACATATGTTTTCCGCAGCGGATGCCCTTCCAGCTGCAACCCATCACTGGGAGACATCCATACACACTTATTCACACACACATACACTACAGACATTTTAGCTTACCCAATTCCCCTATAGCGCATGTCTTTGAACTGTGGGAGAAACCGGAGCACCCGGAGGAAACCCACGCCAACACAGGTTTCAAAATGAAATATTATTTAACTGAAGTAACATTTGTATGATAGAAATAAAAGCCTTTGTTTCACTTCCTCTGGCATTTAAAGGGACAGCTCATCCAAAAATAAAAATGTTGTAATCATTTACACATCCTCCACTTGTTCCAAACCTTTCTTGCTAAGTTGTTTCCAATGTGATGAACACGAAGGAAGATATACTCAAGAATGAGGGGGAAAAACAAGCATTGACTTCCATTTTCCTACCATGGATGTCTGTGACTCCTTTTTCCAATCTTCTTTGGTATATCTTCCTTTGTGTTCAACAGAAGAAGTACATTCATAAAAGTCTAGAACCGCTTGGGTCTGAGTAAAGGATGAGGAAATGTTCATTTTTGGATGAACTGACCCTTTTAAAATATTTGCATGGCAACTTAGATTATATTATGTTACCTTACATACAACAACACTGCATTCGGCCCACATGTGCACCAATCCGAAAGTCCTGTACCTAAACTGTTTGGTGCAAATATGTGTACAGTTTCACCCCTAATAATCTCACATGAAAAATAACCATATATGAGTAAACAGCGCCATCTAGCGAAGCTCTCCTGATCCCACAGTGTTCTGTGTTGCGTTATCTTTAGTGCTGAAATGATCTAAAGCATGCCATTTGGCAATTTACCATCACCATGAGGAAGTTTTGCACAAAATATAAGTCTGTGATTAATATTATTTACCTGACTATTCAAATCCTGCACTTTTGAATTGATAAAACAAAATTGGGTAATTATAATGGGTTTCATTTTGTGTGGCCAGGAAGAGACTTGCTTTTCATGCATTAAATACTCAGCAGTCTACATGTGTTTGTTGCCTCATTACAAACATATGCAGCAAAATTCACATTATACACAATAAATTAACAAAAGATACAATTAAACATACCATATGTCTTTTCACATGATAATCTCACATGAAAAATAACCATATATGAGTTAATAGCGCCATCTAGTGAAGCTCTTCTGAACCCACAGTGTTCTGTGTTGTGTTATCTTTAGAGCTGAAATAATAAAGCAGGGGTCACCAAACTTATTCCAGGAGGGCCTTAGCCCTGCAGATTTTACCTCCAACCCTAATCAAACACACCTGAACAAGCTAATCAAGGTCTTACTAGGTATACTTGAAACATCCAGGCAGACGTGTTGAGGCAAGTTGGAGTTAAACCCTGAAAGGACACCAGCCCTCCAGGATCGAGATTGGTGACCCCTGATCTAAAGCATGGCATTTGGTAATTTACCATCACCCTGAGACAGTTTTGCACAAAATATAAACCTATGTGATTACAAATTATTTACCTGACTATTCGAATCCTGCACTTTTGAATTGATAAAACAAAATTGGGTAATTATAATGGCTTTCATTTTGTGTGGCCAGGAAGAGACTTGCTTTTTGTAGCTTTAACATATATGAAAACACAGCCAGGAATTAATATAAACCTCTGCATAAACAGATGATGTTTAATGAAGTGTATTGCTGTTCTTTCTCTTTGGAAAAAATCACAGTAAGAGCTCAGTGATATGACACAATGCATAAACATGCATTAAATACTCAGCAGTCTACATGTGTTTGTTGCCTCATTACAAACATATGCAGCAAAATTCACATTATACACAATAAATTAGCAAAAGATACAATTAAACATACCTTATTTCTCTTCAGGGACGGAGCTGAATCATTTTTAATCCGTATATCCAGCATTTTGCGTTCTGAAGGCTGTGAAGAGATGAGATGCTGGCTGAACTGCATTTTTGTGCAATATGTGATGAGTTGTTGTCCATCTGATGTTTCAATTCACAAGGTGTAAGACCTGTAAAGGACCAGATATGTTTTTGTTCTGATACACAATGGAATCCAATAGAGTATATTAACTTTTTTCTTTCATTCTTTTATGATTTGACTGCTAAATCTCGATATATTACAGATTAAGCGAAGAGGTAGCACAGATCGTCACAGTTTTAGTAACCAGTTGTGACCTACTGGTTAGGGAGTTGGACTGGTAATAGAAAGGTTGCAGGTTTGATTCCTGGTTGGAATTGAAAAATGGACGTGCCTGACTTGCTTCTGTTAACACAATGTTGATGTTTCATTTTCCAAATTTGACACACCAGATCATTTTTATATACACACACCAGAGTTTTATAGGGAGTCCTAACTTTTTTCACGTGACTATATATTCTGTTGCGATTTCTTTTCTAGAAAATATGGCAGATTATTATGACACAAAGGCACTGTCAAAGTTTTTTTACAGATCTTTATGTATGGGGTAGTATTGGGATTGGGCCCAATACTATTAAACAAATTAGCCGAATTTCTGCTTCACTCATGTCTTACTAATAATGATCTGATGGGTGTTTTGAGGGGTAAAATCAGAGACTTTCAAATTAGGTTTTAACTTGACGTCAATATGCTTCCATCCTGTAGGGTGGCGGTAAACGCACCCAAAACCGCAATAAAACATCATAGAAGAAGAACAAGATGCAAACGGGGAAATGTAGTTTTTAATACGTCAAACAGTCTTTGTATTGATATGTGAGGTTACATACCTCTTTATGCACGTCGGTGTGCAGAGTTGAGTGTTTGTAGTGGTTCGGCGGCTCGTGTGTGTGTTTATTATGAACTGAGAGCAGCTCGTCACGATTGATCTGGAAGTTTCCACACGCGCCCCTCCCGCGCCCAGCCTACCCATAACCCACCGCGCGCGCCTCCATTCTTCTCTCCAGTCCAACATGTCCATGATAGACAGTCCGTTAAGCGTGCTCGGCCAGAGGACGACTGGCGAGTCCGTGAGGTCTCAAAACGGTGAGTCTGGAAGAGATCATAATTACCCGTAACATAACGCAGAGTCCGGGTGAACGGCCTGACGCAGATTCTGTTTGAGCGGAGGAGCGGCGGCCGGTGCCGCTAGCAGCACGTGCGGCTTACAGGAACCACAGCGTTAACATTACTGATCTATAACACTGTAATGACGTTATAGACCTAAATATGTCTTTGGAGTAAAGTTTTATATTCGCACATTTTAACTCTGCTTAATATAATTCCAGATATTATTTGAATATAGCATTGTTCACAGTCAATTACATGGTGCTAATGTTGTGTTGAAGTCATAATAATAATAGGCATGATTTTTCAGACCAAATATTCAAGTTGGTAAACAATTCAAGCGGTATGAAATATGAAAATTCTGTTATTATTGACTTACTCTGGTTTCGACCCATTAACGTTATGCGTTTCATAGAGGTAAAGTCGGTTTTATATTCGCACATTCGTTCATTTAGCAGTCTCTATATAGTTTATCATGTTACTTTGAATATTGGAACTAGCATGCAAGTAGGACTTCTAAACAACATTAACACTATCTAATCGACTGTAAACAATGTTGTATTTTGATAGTCATTTGCTGCTAATACGATTTATCTGTTCAGAATTTGTAAAGAATAATTTTCTGACTTTGTATTATTAAGGAGAATTTATCTATCTATCTCTCTCTCTTTCTCTCTCACTATATATATATATATATATATATATATATATCAGGGTTCAACGCTAAGGATCGATCGGACCAGTGGTTCAGATTTTTACTTGCCCTGCCAATATTTTCACTGGCCTCACCAAAAAAAAAAAAGTTAATAGCCATTTCTTAGCCACACATTTAAAAAAAAAAATGTTTGTAAAACTAGAATTTAAATATTCTAAAAACGTTAATTAACATAATGAGCAAAATTATTTGTGTTATGCAAACAAAAGTAGCAGTATGGGAAGTGTGCAGGTGTTTTATTGCAAAACAAAAGTGGCTGACCTGCCAAACTGATGGCAAACTGTACATAACATCACTTCCATTTTTATTTATTTAATTTTTTTTTTTTTTTGTTTGTTTGTCATGGTGTACCCTCGCAATGTCTGCTTCCTTGAAGTTAAAAACAAACGTCTTCTTTTAGCAACATCATTTGATGTTGCTGTCTCTTCGCTGTACTGGTTGTTATGGAAAAAAATAACATGCTCACAACATCATGCCATCAGATAAGAGGAACCAAAAGCAATATGGTGTTTATGACATCACAGAGAAGGAAGCATTTGACGGTTTAAAAACCCAAACAGTTTCTCGATTCTAAGAGTATCGGGCCTGTAATGATCCTGTCTATTGTCCCGAGCATCTCACATGCTGGCCCCGGGCCACTGGGCAGTCCTTATTGTTGAGCCCTGTATATACATACAACAGTTCTGTCTGGTCTCGAATCTGATTGGCTGATAGCCGTGATATATTTAAGTAATATCAGCACCCGTACAGCCTCTTTACACTTTGTGTATTACTCCGCCCACATACAGCCAGCAAAAAGCCGACACTACAGATCTAAAGTGTAAAAGATGCACGCTCAAATGTTTAACTGTCAGATTATGATTTGAACCCAAGGCGGAAGAAAGTAGTTCCTCTTACAAAAGGGTTTTTGAGACTCTCCATGTTTGGTTTTGTTTTTATATACACAATTATGCCGTCAAACTCGTAGCAGTGCGATATGGCTGTATATCGGCACTGGTGGGAGGTGTGCGTTGTGTCAACGCCACCACCAGTGCCGACATACAGCTATATCGCACTGCTACGAGTGTGATATATATATATATATATATATATATATATATATATATATATATATATATATATATATGTATGTATATAAAATACACACATTTGTCACAACAAACTATTATTCCGGATGCAGTTAATTGATTAATCTTTGCCCAGCAGTAATTTTACTTGTAAGCACAGTTCACAGAGCAGGTATAACTGAGCCATCTTCTGATGAATACTGTTTAATATTCACATGCTGATGTGTTTTACTGGTTCGTTTGCAGTCATGGCCGCTGCATCCATTGCTAACATCGTGAAGAGCTCTCTCGGTCCCGTCGGATTGGACAAGATGTTGGTGGACGACATCGGAGTAAGTTTAAGCTTGTTTCCTCCTGTCTGAATAAGCCATGATGTTTACTGTTACATGCCAGATCATCTGTCTGATGGAAAACATCAGGAGTAGTAGTGCAGTACAAAAATCAAATTTATTATAGAAAACCCCAAAATGGCAGTATTGATTTAGTTGAAGATGCATTGTTTAATAATCATCGAAGTTATTACTTATACCCCCGGTTTCACAAACAAGGTTTAAAGCTAGTCAAGATTAAATTGCATGTTTGAGCTGTCTCAGCTCAAAATAACTTGTTGTGAGATGTCAGTGTCATTTATTTATTTTTTTGTCTCCTGGTGCACACCAGTAATATTTTTCTAAGGCCATTTTTATAAATATATCTTAAATAGCCTTATTTAACTAGTGCCTAGTCCTAGCTAAATTTAAGCCCTGTTTGTAAAACATAATAATGTAAATATTAAGTTGTATATGAACCATTTCTATGTTATAATGTATGTTTTGTAGTTTATTTAAATGGTGGCAGTCATAATTTATTTTTGAGGCAGATTTATTCAGAATGACGCTATAAGTACAGCAGCTTTAGTGCTGATTGCCTGAAGAGGGTTTTTTCTTGCTGTCCTTTAGAAATTTCCTGTTTTTGTTGTATTTGTAACACACATTTAACCTGTTTGCCTAACTTTAGAATGGATAAATTAATATCCTAAAACAGACATTAGAGTTAAGGTTTGAATTAAGGTTAAGAGCTGTATAATTCTGGATAAAAAAATGACAATCAATTCAGTCTTTTGTTATATATATATATATATATATATATATATATATATATATATATATATATATATATATATA